CCCCAAAACCCCAAAACCCCAAAACCCCAAAACCCCATAAATCCTAGGTACAGTTGATAGTTATAAAATGGAGACTTTAGGCAGCAGTGAAGTCAGCGAAGAGATAAAAAGTATCCCTGAGATCAAACAGACTAAGAAAAGGTAAGTATTTCAATACTTTTAATAAATACAAAGGGTATTTATTCATATAGCTCTATTCCAGTCCGTCAGACAAAGAAATCTTTGGCATCTAAGAAATCTGTCAACCTTGAGTTGCAAAGACTTCAGTCTGCACCAACTATGGAGGAGAAGAAAGCTCTTGAGTCTAGCTTGAAGTTGAAGAGGAAGAAGATGTCTAAGCAAAAGATAAAGAAAATAAGATCTAACAATGACGATAAACCAGCTCATAATCTATCAAAGATCAGCCGATGGCTGCATATCACCATCTTCATGTTCTTAGATGAAAAGGATATCATTAAATGTGGGGGAGTCTGAAAGTCTCTCTTTGATTCCCAAAATGATGAATTCATCTGGAAGCACAGACTCATCAATCTAAGAGGGATCAACGACTTTAACAGCTTGTATAAACATTACTGTTTCACAAGTAAAATGCACAAGGAGAGATCTCAGAAAGGGAGAGAGTACAAACTCAAATGTTTGAGACAGATCAATGCTGGGAATCTCATGAAGACTAAATCACAGGTTCTTAATATCAAACTTACAGGACATACAGGTAAAGTTACAACTGTATCTGGTCTTGGAGATTACCTTGCCAGTGGAGGAGAGGATAAGAAGGTTAAACTATGGAACGTCAAGAAGAAATCCTGTAAAACTTTTGAGGATCATAAGAACTGGATCACCCGCGTCAACCTTATAGATGACTACCTTGTTTCTGGTGGAGCAGATGGGTTAGTCAAGGTTAGGCCGGTTGAAAAATTTATGGGAAAAGAGGGTTCTTATAAGCATCCTGGATATATCAAAACAATAACTCAGATTGGAAATTCAAGATTTTTGTCTCACTGATCGTCTGGAAGTATCTTCGTGTACGACTTATTTACACACAAAAAGTTCGAACTTGATATGGAAGAAGAGGAGGAGAAAAAGAGCGACTTTGGGTTCGATTCTATTTCTCATAATGACAACATATTCCTTGGAGCCAATGGTAGCACTAGTGAGTGCGTTCTCAGAGATATGAACAATGATTTCAAACCTTTTGCAAACTTCAAGATATACGAAGATGAGGATGATCGGCCTCCCGTTAGTAGAAAGGATGAAATAGCAACCAAGATAGTTTGAAAAATGATAAGTAAGAGTTCTTAATAATTTATCAAGGTGACAATCTTATTTGTGCAAGCGATTATAGAGCAATTAGAATCTTTGACATCAGACAACCCCTTGAGTCACCTGTCGAGGAGTTCAAGTGTCCAGAGCATTTTAGTGTCAAAATTAAGAAGAGCTGGGCTAAAGATTGGACCATTTTCAGCCCAAATAAATTCAAATATTGTGAAAGTAAAGGTATCTTGGTTGCGCAATTTGATGGCTTGAAGGGTATTGCTACCTTCGATCTCAGGTCTAACAAGCCTTTGGATATATACACAGGACATGAGATGAGGTACGGGGCTTTTGACCTGGGTCAGAACTACCTTAGTAATTTTGTCGTTACCTCAGGTAAAGACAAATGTGAGCAATCTGAAATCAAGGTCTGGGATATTACGCAACCCTATAAATCTCACAGAAAGCATTTTCGATTCAAGCCTTGCTTGAAGGCGACAATCAAAAAGTTGAAATTTTGGAATGACAACATCATTTGTGTTGATAAGTCATCAGACATCTGAGTGATGTCCTTTGGAGACTTCAAGAGTGAAAGAAATCTGATGAGGAGCAACATGATCATCTCTGGATAGCAATAATTTTAAACCTCCAATCCTCAGAAATATACCGGGGTTTTGGGGTTTTGGGGTTTTGGGGTTTTGGGG